CCAACTCAGTTTTCCACAACTGCCTGGGCAGTACGACGAGGTGTAGTCGCACGTTGCGGTAGCGCGGGCGTCCAGTTGGTGTACTCGAGATGTTTGTGTGTACTGTACTGTACATAGGTGTGTATGTGTGTTGGGGATGCGAAGAGACTCGCATACGAGGCCTACGCGCTCAGGTGTTTATGCTGCAAGATTGGATCGTCGTCCATTTACTCAGCTCAGGAAACTGCGTCATAATAGGGGTGATTATTATCGATTGTTTTGTGAGAGAATCCCACTTTTTGTCATTGGGGTCATTTCGCGGACATTCAGATCGGGGCGCTTTAAGAACCGCCCATGGAAATTTGGAGTAGAACACACAATATGACGTCAGCTTTCCTTCTCTCATTTTACCTACTGAAGGTCCAGCTAATACAAAACTAAGGTGACATTCGAATGAGCAGCACCAAATCGGCAGAGAATCGATCGACCAATCAAAACACAACACATGAATCAACTAGCCAATCATATCCACTCTTCGAATAATTCAACATCGAATTAGTGTGTGATTGACATTCGTGTGATACTGGACGATCTTTGCATGCAAAAGTCACTACAAAGAATCGATCGATAGATTTGGCGAATCAGCACAAAAGTCCAAAAATTGGGTAAAAGGACAATATCACAACGTGATTCACTGTCAATACTCGAGTACTAGTATTGATTAGACAAACCACGCCAAAGTTTGGAAGTTTGCAGCGAATTCACAATAATGAATGCATTTATTAATATTCAGAGTGTAGCTAGTGATGGATTGTTTTGACCAGAATTCTGCGTTCTGGTCCAGTGTACCCGTAGTTGATTTGTTAAGTGGGAACTTTTAGTTCCCCCATAATCAAATATTTCTGATTATCGGAATGTGCAGGTGCCCGAGAGACTTGAATTACCTGTTATACTTAATAAATATTATGTATGGCAGAACTTGTTTGATCAACGAATAATTCGCTCATACCATGATGTCCATTTTTACAGCCTAGTTCGTTTTACACCATAGCCAAATGAGTATGAGCACAAAACAATACTTAGTAATCGGGGTTAACTGTAAGTACATCTAGTGAATAAGATTGCTCATCACTGAGATGTAATTTAACCGCCCGAGAGGTTAACCCGGGAATAACGTTAACATTTCTTCGTATGTAAACACAAAGTACTGGTTTATTTGAAAGAGTAACACTACCGTATCTATCAGGGAATTACTCGGTAACTAGCTGACGAAGTGACCTGTGAAAGTTTTTGAAACATTTGAATTGGGACCGAACTTGAACGTTTCAGTAGAATTCCATTTATATAACATGAAGTTTGTATGCATTAAACATCTCTGTAAGAAGAGTTTCTCTGCTAAACAGAATGCCATATATTTAGCGGAATTGAGCCTATGTATCCAATTTGACTTCTAAATTGCATTGTAACAGTATATTTGCCATTTATTTAAAATATCCAAAAAAAGAGGTAATTTGTTGAATCCATCAATTGACATGTCGCAGAAGTTCCCACTTAACAAATCAACTACAGTATCTTTGACGCGACCACCCCAATGAGCTCGACGAAGATGCAGGCAGCGGACACGGCCCCGCCAGACCCGACGCTGTTTCAGTACACGAACGCCTTGAAGCAGTTCATATCCCCTACCACCATTCTACCGGAGAAGGCCACTGGGCCAGTGCCGACCAACAAGTGGTGGGGAAACCTGTTGAGTTTGAACGCCGCAGGACGTCTGGACCCAGTGTACCCGAGCCCGTATGCCGTCTTCATCGACAACGTAGCCGCGACGATTGCGTGCAGTTACTTGTACGACAGCATGCATCAAGGTCCCATCAACGTGAATGGAGCCATCAGCTACTACTACTTCCCGCGAAGCTCAAACTTGATCTTCTCATGCCAAGCCCCGAGCGTACAGTTTTCCGTGGAAGACTGGGATGACCTGACAGTGCAAGTGTCTTTGACCAGTGGCAGCAGCGCATTCCTTCGATCAGTCATGGCGTTGGGGCAAGCGTATATGACTATTCAACACGGCGACGTTCCCATCTGCCTCTCGTCCGAGAGCGGCATCGCGGCTGTGGACGGACAGCCCTTTGGCGACGGCTTTTTGTACCATGGCCAGGTTGACGTGGGAAAGTTTGTGGTGACGTTACACAACGGCCAGCGGTGGCTAGTGTGCTGGAGCAGCCCCGCCAAGGGCCAGGCGTTGACGTTCACTTGTGACAAACAAGTGCTCAAATCAGGCGCCCACTTCAACGGCATAGTCCAGGCCGCCATCGTCGCATCCGACGACGCGTTGCAAATCCTCGAGCAATATGCAGGTAGGTACATCATACATACGTCCTTCCTGTCCAGGCCAATCTCACCTGGATATCTTAGGCGGGTATGTGCACCGTGGAGTTGTGACATGCGATACTGTACATGGCTTTCAGTACCATTGGGAAACTCGACGTGCAGCGGTGCAGTCGCAGCAGCCGACCAAGGCATCGCCCCCCGTCCTGCACTTTGTGCTCGAACACCACAAGTCCATCCTGACATTCCACAGCCAGGCCGTCGTCCCCGCCTTGACCCTGCACTCGCACACACGGGGCCCCATGACGGCGTACTTGATCGACAGCGCGTCTGGCAACATATGGGACTTTGCATTTTCAGAACAAGACGAACAAAATGTCGAGCGGTGTGCGCAGTTTCACGCCCCGCGAGACCCGTCGGTGCAAGATATTGTGGAAAATCGCCTCGTAGACCATCTCCAGGACGAAATCAACACGGCGGCGACGTGGACGCTGCCACCGGGGTACTACTTCAAGGGCAAAGCGCTGCAAAAGTACGGCTCGCTGTGCCTTCTCGCCGCCAAACTGGCCAGTTACAAGGAATTTCAGACCCAAGTCGCCCCACTTGCGGCGACTGCGCTCTCCAAGCTGAAACAACTGCTCGACACTGCCAACGAGTTTCCGCTGTGTTATGACGTGGGTACGTCGTATACTAAAGACCGTGTAGTAGTTGGTTGTGTGACTAGTTACTACTCGTGTTATAGTGTACAAGGGCCTCATCACAAGCGAAGTGTTTGTCAAGCACGATGTGAACGTGGAATTTGGTACGGTTGGGACGCACAGAAGGTTACTAGAACTACAGCTAGTACTACTAGTACTCGTGTAGGCAATGCCGTGTACAACGACCACCATTACCATTACGGGTACTTTATCACAGGTACACAACCACCACGATCGTCCATCGAGTGTTTGTATTATATATATATAAATATATATTATTGTGCTTCTGGTTGTATTTTTCCAATTCTGGATGGTTTGCTGAAAGAATCACACATCGTGCCTCGATATTTGATTGATTCATTTCCGTTTGTTGATAAAAACGAACATGGAACAGCCAATCAGCGAAGAGCATTTTCAGATTGACCAATGGTCGTGATCGGTTTGGTTGGCGTGCTTGGATTGAACGGCCTGAAAATTCGTGTCGAATCCATACTATTTTTCGTCGTCATATATATATATATATATATATATATATATATATATTATGGTAGCGGCGGCGATGATGTATCACTTGGACCCGTCGTATATGACGAAGAACACTCGGTTGTGTGCGTGGATTGAGACGCTCGTGCGCGACGTGATGAGTGCGTCGATTGCAGACGCGTACTTTCCCCGCTTTCGGCACTTTGATTGGTTCTTGGGCCACGGGCTGTCGCATGGAGTCACGAGCGTCGTCGACGGCAAGGACGAAGAAAGCACGTCGGAGGAAATCAACTGCTGGTACGGCATCGCATTGTGGGCGGCCGTGACGGGCAACACCAGGTACGTACTGTTGCTACATCAGAGTGTTTACATTTTTGTTATTGGAGTGTTTGTCGGCAGAGAATCAAAGATCGACCAATCAAAACACATGAATCAACGAGCCAATCAAATCCACTCTTCGAATAATTCAACATCGAATTAGTGTGAGATTGAAATTCGTGTGATACTTCTGGACGATCTTTGCATGCAAAAGTCAGTAACACAAAGAATCGATCGATAGATTTGGCATAGAATCACCGCAAAAGTCCAAATATTGGGTAAAAGGGCAATATATTATGAGTGTCCACGATTTGTTTGAAAAGTAGAAATGTGGGGGTTGGTTTGTGACACTGTCGCTTGAATAGTAAATATACTTTTAATTTTCTAGACTGGCATGCTAGGATTGGTATAGCGTGTTTGGATTACTGAGACATTTCGACAAGTGTATATATGGGGATTGGTTGCTTTGAGTGTGCTTGCTGTGTGTCTTGAGCCACATATTCCCCACATGTGTACGAATGCTATATTGTACTATATGGTTTTTGATATTATACACTTGTATAGTTATATCGCAGCATTTTTCCAATATTTATATACTAGTATATATATATACTAGTATATATAATGTATGGTTTTTATATAATACACTTGTACGTATATCGCAGCATATTTCCAACATGTATATATATGTATTGATGGGAATATGTGTTTGTGTGTGGTGTAGCTATGCCAACGTGAGCCACGTGCTGTTGAAGCTGGCGGCGCTGTCCCACCGCACGTACTTCTTCGTGTCGAAGTCGAACGTGACACACCCGCCAGAATTCCGCAAGAACAAGGTGTCTGGCATCCTCTTTGAGAACAAGTGCGACTACACGACCTGGTTCAGCGCCAGTCGCGAGTGCATCCACGGCATTCAGATGCTGCCGGTGTCGCCCGTGTTGGAGTTTTCGCGCCCGCTGTCGTTTGTGGCCGAGGAATGGGCGGATGTGCTGTGCAAGCTCGAGTTGCCGCCCTCGAACGCGTGGCAGTCGCTGCTCATGGCCAACTACAGCGCGATCTGCCCACGGACGGCGTGTGCGCAGCTGCAGCACTGCACCATGGACGATGGCCTTAGTCGCGCGTATGCGTTGTACTATAGCCTCACGCGACCATCTAGTTAGTAGTGGTTGACACTTCAAATCTCCCAAGAAGTGATTAACTCCTCCCAATATATATATATTATACCTTCATCTCTCCGCTTTGTACAAATATTAAGTGCATTCACAGTACATTATTGTGAGTTCGGTTCGAAATTTCCCACAGCGGTTCGTTGACTCGATCTGGACAAACCACAGCGCAATTCGATCTTCCTGCAAAAACCAATATTTTATAAACTAATAGAGGTTTTTGAGATCATAAGCCTCAACATGACTGGGCGTATGAGTAGTCAAGATCTGAAATCGAACTAATAAGTCGTCCCACATAGTGCATTGCCATCACATAGCATTCTCTAAGAAACCAAGGGTGTTGTGGAACTCAACTTGTGTAGAGGTCGAAGGGCCTCGATTTACCCTCGAGGGTCTCGAACTTCTGCGCCCTTCCAGATAAACTCTTTCCTTCGCGAGCCAAAAGTACCCAATATGATAAAAATATGAAAAGTACCCAATACCATAATACTCACAGTGGCAATGATACACGATGTTACTGTAGGAAAACCATGCATGATGTCGTGCAGTCTCCATGTTGTGTTGGGGACTTGTCTACAGTACAAAGCTAACATTCATTGGTTAAAAACGGCATATTTTTTACTAATAATATCAATGGATGGATTTGCGGCTCGGTTTACGAAAAAACAGAGCCGTTTTTGAGCAAATTTGGACCGAATTCACCATAACTGTAATGCGATTAAACATAACTGTAATGCGATTAGAAGTGGGAGACAATAATTATGATGATTGGGTGGTCGATGTAGCAATTATTTTCAATGGAGAGCTTCTAAAACCCTCGTCAACGGGGATGTATTTCAACGCTTTTATTGTGAATTCGCTATAAACTTCCAAAATTCGCATGGTTTTCAATATTGAATCGCCCTGAAAATTCTCATTGGCTGAATATAATTGTCCTATCTATATTAATGAACCTATCGGATCCATTCAAAATTGGACTACTAGCGCCGATTCGTGATTCGACAACGACGGGATATATATTAGTCCCGAATCCACAATAATAATATTAATAACAAAACGCATCGAAATATAACAACAAGAGTCGGGTACTATTCCGACTGCCTATTTTTAGTATATGTAATTAGCCTTTACAATCGCCTAATCACGCACAGCCCGCGACACTTTGCCAAACACCCGCGGGAACGCGCCGGCACAGTCGTACTTGGCCCGCATTTGATCGTACAGGGAATGGTCAAACATGGCTTCAAACTCGGTTTCACTCATGTACGAATCCGCGTACATCATTTGGAACCTAGTACGATAGTGTTTTATACATGAGATGGAAAGAGTAGTTAGTGTTATATTGAACTGGCTGGTACAACGTACCCATGGTGGTTGCGGACAAACGCTTCGATGCGGCGCGTGGTGTGCACTGGATGGAAGTTGGCCACGCTAGGAACGCCGTACGCGCCAATGTCGACAAACAGCGAAGTCCTCCCTTGGCCCTTGTTGTCCGTGTTTAGCATGCCCCGTCTCGACGGCAACACAAACGGACACAGCCACAACGGATATACCTAACACTGTCGTGAATATATATATATATATATATATATATATATGGCATCAAAATTTCAAATATCAGCGTCAATTTCAAACTGGCATATATATCCAGCACGACCACTCGAATCGTGTGAAAGTATAACATGACTATGGAATCAAACACATGTTCGTACGTGGACTTCTTGATGAAACAAGTGGAGGGCGTCGTGGAGGCATGACATGGGCACGAGCATGTCCTGGATAAAGTGGTGGTTGTCGTACAGTTCTTTGATAGCGTCGCTTTGCGTGAGCTTGAGCAGCGACACCTTGGGCGGCACAAGCCACCCGAGCAAGTACCGAAACCACGTGCTATTGCCAAACGGAATGATGTCTTGAATCTCCCAAAAAATGCTGCGCGAGTGTCGGTGAAAGTAGTCTCGCAGCGGCATAAACTCTGTCTCAGGGGTGTCGAACTTGGCCTCGACGTGCTTGAAGAACCACGGCTTGTACCATCGGCCAATTTCGTTGAGCTAGGAATGATATTCAAGTCGTAGTAATACTAGGCCATATATATGTACTACTAGCATGGTTATTACCTTGGTGCTTTCGGCGTGCGCCACCATCGTCCCAGTCATCACCACCCCTTTGTCCAAATTAAACATGAGCGCCTCCACGAAGTGATTGGCCTCGGTGTCCTTGGCTGCGGTTTCAAGTACATCGCATGCCTCTTTGACCGAGCTGACGGGGTGGTAGTTCAACTTGACAAACCTATTGAAATATGAATAAATGAAGGACGGGCGGATAAATGAAAATGAATGGATAAATGAGTGCCTTCAAGCTATTGTCGATTTGATACAAATTTGGGGACGCGGTGCAATCGAATCGCGCCGACCAAACCGATCCACAATCGATCTGATTGGTTGAATTTCATTTAGAAGGTTTTGATTGGTTAATAATTTTGAGCTCATCTAAAGTAGCCAATCAAATCGATGTAAATTCCAACGACAAACCACGCCACAACACGAAATTTCACTCGAAAGCACAATAAATGAATGAATTTAAGATAAATGAAGGACCGTATCGGATAAATGAATGAATGGATATTATGAGATAGATGACGAGATAGATGATAATCGGCTTATTACGGCTTGGTGGGGACGATCTGAATCTCCACGGCGGTGAGAAACCCCAGCGTGCCATACGACCACGGGATCGAGTAGAACAAGTCGGCGTGGACGTCCTATGCATGCCATTAGTATAAACGCACACTATATGCGACGTACCTTGGAGCAAATGACAGTGGATCCATCGGCAAGCACGAGTTCGTACGACGTGCAAATGTGCTGGAAGAGGCCGTATCGATGTGACGACGTTTCGATGCCGGTGCCCATGACCAACCCACCTAGAGACGAACAGAGTGAGCTCACGGGGATATGATGGATGTACACGAACGTACCAACTGTCAAGTCGTCCAACTCGGGCACAATCGCAAGGCACCAGCCCAGGGGGCTCAGGGTCGCAGAGAGCTGTCCCATCGTCACAAGTGGCTCCACCCACACTGACTGTCATGCCATGAGATCGTACATGCTTGAGATACGCATGAGCGTACCTTGCCCGTGGTATCGACTTTCAACACGTCCATCATGTTGATTTTGATGTTCGACAGTGTCTTCTTGTACAACCCGCGCCGATATGAAATGTTCTGCCATCCTGGACGAGCCGTGCACATGGGTGTCTTCCGCCCGTCCTTGTTCCACTTCAGCACCTGCAAAGACAGCGCGTGACAAGTGAGCTGGACTGCGACGAAGTCGGTCCTCAGGAGTGGCGGGCATGAGGGAAGGCCTACCTGCTCTTGGACTGCACGGACCCGTTCGGCGTGCTTGTTTGGCGCAGAGTTGGCATAAAAAATCACTCGGTTGCGCAGGTAGTACAAAATATCGTACACGAATGACAACGGCAAGAGGAAAAAGCACACAAACACCCAGCGATAGTTGATCAGCACATGCGCAATCAACGACGTCGGCTGAGGGGGAAGTACTTTGCCAGCCGCGTCTGCAGCCTCTGGGACAGCGCGGGCCTTGTGGTCCTGGACTGCTGGAGTCTGCCGCTTTTCGATTGACATGGATGTCGCCAGATTTCGAATGGCGAAGTAGAACGTTCGAATTTCATCCAATGGCCACTTCAACCTGATACGACCAAATCGTATACAGTACCGTACTTATCAATTTGGTCAAAATACCTAGTGCTAGGAATACTATTAGTAGTACTATAAATAGAATAGTGAAGTACATGTACTGACTGGTACTTGGGTACTCGGTACCAATCACACGACATTTCATCCTTTTATGTACGAATCCGTTCCAACGACAAAACCGGAGCGAAGCTACGCCAGGCATCGGCGAATGTCCTCTCCCGCCACAGTTACGGGTGGACTACTCCACTCATGAGCCTGGGCATCAACGCCAGCTCGAGTCGTCAGACCTGTGGCCGCTGCAGCAGGAGAACCAGTGCGACTTTGTTAATCGCCAGTTTGAGCCCAGGTACCACGCCACCTAGTCCATCGTGAAGGCCAGCTTGTCGGTGTTTGGCCGGCATGCCTTGTTCATCGGGTTTTTGCAACTCGTGGCCATGGTGGCATCACGTCAATCAAATTGGACTAGAGCTACAATGATGAAACCGGCATAATGTTATAAAGCTCATCACGACCTTGCGAATGCACCTGGTCTCACCTTCGTAGCATGAATGGATGGTGAGTTATGGGACCCAAAAAGTAGGCCAAGCTGACCGGGAATTGCATGAATCACCTTAGAGCTTCTCCACCGCACCTCTAAATTTGGTCCCTTTATAATCCACGATGTGTGTTTTGCGTGTGTTTTTGTCGATTTAATTTGTAGGTATAACCCACATGTACAACTGTAAAACTGGACTTTACAGTGATAACCAGACCTCCAAACGGTGTGTAACTTTGGGTATTTTCGATGAGTTTGGAGGGATCTTGGTTATTTCTGATAATTCTGGATACAAATGCTTCGTAACGTTATAGATAAAAGCCTTCAAATTTGGGCGAAACCTTTAACGGCAGTGTGCTTTCCCCGAAATATAACCAGACCTCCCAAAACCGCGGTGGAGATGCTCTTACTGGTAAAACACTTCAAGCAAGACATGTTTCAATTCTTATTAGATTTATTGAATTCGGCCCCAAAATGGCGTTTTGGGCCAGAATATTGTAATAATTCAGGAAGTAGTTCACCCGTCGAGCACCCTACTCCAAATTCGAATCGAATTGACAATACTACGGAGTACCATACTGTTCTGTAATCTATTGTCATGCAAGGGGCTCCTGATGTTGGCCAATCTGCGGACTTTGGCGGTTTAAAAAGTGCTTAGATCCAGACAAGGTGCATTTTTTGACGGCTTGATAATACCCCTGCAGAAGGTCAAGCGGAAGTCCGAGTGCAATTGCGACCGATCCACGTCTCCAAGTGTGGTGTTGTTGTTAAACTAAGCCCCAACTTTACGTAAAATCGAATGGTATGAATATGACCTGCACAAATATTAATATATCTTCGGTATTCTTAGATAAATTGAACCCTCGGAAAGCCGACCGTCCCACAATAGCAACAATTGCATAAGTTCGGCTTAACTTTGAGCAAATAACATTTGCCATCGTAGGATGCCAATTGTTGCAATACAATTTCTTGGTTTTCGGAGAATGGCCATAATTTCTGATTGTTGCTGAGTAGTATTGTGTGTTCTACTCAAAATTTCCTCCGGCGATTGGTTGAATCACCCGACGAACAATCGCCAGACCTTCAAAATTTCAAATAAAACTAAGTCAAAGAGGTATATCTTTGAGACTGCAATGCATCAATCAATACTTTGAGCCAATCATATTTCAACCTTCATTCTTTATAGCCAATCATACTCCTTTGCTTGATTAGTTGGCGATTTCATCAATCCCCCAAAATAGGCAAATTTGACTGAAATGCACAACATTGAAAAGTCCTAAGGGTGCGTCTGGTAACATTTCAAAAAGAATATTCCATTTTCTGGCCAAAATGGGATAAACAAAAATACAATTTCGCAAAATGGAGGTAAGGGCCATTTTGTAATATGGCGTTTCATAGTAGACCTCAAGGACTAAATCCCACTAGGAATTAGTGGATTTGGGTTAAAACTCTTCAAGCAAGACATGTTTCAATTCTTATGAGATTTATTGAATTCGGTCCCAAAATGGCGTTTTGGGGCAGAATATTGAAATATTTCGTGTTACTAGACTGGCCCTAAGCTGTAGACAATTTCAGGGTAATCCACCATGAATTGAACATGCGATTTCGCACAATTATTATATGGGCCCGTCTGGTAACCTGACAGTGAATAAAATATTACAATACTCTGTGTTCTGCAGCGTGCAGAGCTATTGGGTCGCGCGTTAGTTTGACCCATTGCAAACACACACACTCTGTGTGTGTGGCGTGTCAAAGGTTCCGATACCTTAGTGGATGTACTGAGTACTTTAGTGAATGGTAGTCAGTAGGCGCCTCGTGGCGTGTTTAACCTCACTCATATCAGTGTGAATATTTGCTGCCTTGACGAAGGTCCCGTGGCCGAAAGCCAAAAGGAAGCGGGAGACAATACAAAGATATCTTTAGTTCATTGTTGAGCTATTCACTTGAGATGGTACGAGAACATTCCTACGACGAGGAAACGCCAACGAACGCCGAAGAACGATCGCGGCCGCGTGATCGGATCGAGGAGCCGCGAGGACGCGCCGCTCGGCGCACCGTTGAGAACCCGTTCAGATCTCCCCGATGACGACAGCCACCTGCTGTCGACGAGTGGCAACCGCCACGTGGTGGGTTTTACACCCCCGCCACAACCCGAGGAACACCAGCTGTCGCAGCGTTTGTCTCAGCTGCTGCTCCACCAACGACTGAAGCAGATGGCGCTTGAGTGCCGTTGCCAGCCGACAACGACCCGTCGTAATCCGTGACGATACGGACATGGGCAGCGATGGCGGTTACGGCCGTAAGGCGCCGCAAGTTTGGAAAGCGCCGGCGCTCCCGCAGCCGCCGACATTTTCGGGCTCGACCAAGGCCGAAAGACGCGCTTTTATGCGCGAGTACCAGAAGTATCTGGGTCAGATCAACGCTCTGCAGTGCAATGGATCGCGTCCGTTCGCGATGCCCGTGAGTGCCTGCATGGACCCGTTTTCGAAGCGCCGGATCGCGCTGTTCGACTTCAACCGCGACCACCATTCCATCACGAACGATGAGTGGGTCGCGTGGTTCAAGTCAGCTTTTGAGGAAGACCCTCAAGACCTGGACGTTTTGAAGCAACGTTCTGCAGCGAGCGATTCGTTTCGATACGAAGATCTTGGACGCGGAGTCCCGCGTCGGTCGTATGCTTGACGAGCTGATGCGCTCGTTGGAACAAGACCATCAGGAGTGGGTACTCCATCAAGAAGGCAAGATGGTCGTCGAAGTCATGACGAAATCGATCAAGCCGGAATCGCTGAAGACAGCGGTTCAAAAGCAGCTGCAGTTGCAGCGGAACAAGGCGTTGAAGAGCGACGTTTTTCGTTACGTCAACTGGCTGCGGACATTTGCAGCTGGCCACCAGCTGTACGTGGGACTCG